GGGGGAGTGTAACCTACTGGGCTCCCCTTATACATCACTGAAGTGCAATGTTATAGTTACAGTAACTCTGGGTAATTAAATTAAACAAATAAAACTGTTTCACTGAACAAAATTTTGAGTAATTAATTAATGATATTTAATAATTAATAAAAGAAGATTTGTTTATTGATTAAATCAAGATTGTAACTAGTGGTTTTAAAAACTGTTTGAAAATAAAACAGAAAATTTAAAACTTTTAAATTGAAACTAAAAAGCATGAAGATTTGCACAAAACTACCATGGTGGTGGTAAAATGCTTCTTGGCATAATTTACCACCACCATGGCATTGTGTGCGTGCCTTAATAATTTTATAATAGCAGAATCAAAATTTGGGTTTGTTCTTAATGAAGAGCACTAAAAAAATGTATGGAACTGCTGTTATGAATATATTGCTATTTTGTCATCGCGTTCTAACTAGCCAACGTAATACTTTTTAAATTTTGGTCCATATTTGGGGTTTGAATAAAGAATTACAAATATGGTTGCAATAATTTTTGTTACGTAATTAATTTTTTTATTAAACATAGACAATTATTAGTATTTATTTTATTTATGATACCTACTGAAAATGTAATATTAAGTAATGATAAAATAATAAAACCCATTTTGATTTTTCAAATGTTTAACTTAAAATAATTGAACTGTTTTAATATTATTTTTTTAAATTATAGTTTTTTACTTGGTTTTCTGTGAATAGTATAACTAATGTATTGACATAATAAGATTAGTAAAGTAGTTGGTTGCAATTATTATTACTTTAAATGTACTACTCAATATGTATAATATGCAAGTTACATCTGTGTAAATCAAGCAAAATCATTCTGATTTTATTCATGCAATACATATAAAGAACTTTATTATTATAATTTTTTTTATATATATATATATTTATCATCTCTAAACAGTCATACTACATGTTTCAAATTTTGATTGTTACACTTTATTTTAATATTTAAAATAAACAGTATACAATAACAATAAAAATTAGTTAAATTATATCGACAAATCATGATACAAACAATATTATAGCTGTTAATTTAAAATAAAATTACATTTTAATGTAATAATCAATCTATGTTTGATTAATTTAAAATATAATTGTTTTTGATTCAAATATTCAAGTGTGTTTTTAATTTATTGTAACTGTTAAACACCTACAAGTCCTTAGAATTTATATCATTAAGTATTACAGTATTATGATGATTTGTAAAATATTATTATCTAAGTATGAGACCTACTTACCTCATATATATTATTGTAACACATAATAATTATAACATAAAATTATTTGAAATATTATTTAGTAAATCCGGATTTCACGGATTATCAAGAATATCCGGATTATTCAACTAGATTTTGGTGTTCAATGACTCATTTTTATATTCAAATAATATTTTAATCTTATAACATAATTTTTGGACAGAGATATACTAAATTTCAAACACATTTTAATTACTAGGGATATCATAAAACTTAAGTATTAAGTTATTATTAAATTATAATAAAATAATGTTATTTATTTAACCATACATTAAAAATATTGTAAGTAAAATCACATAAAAAGCGAATCCATAATTTGGGAAATCCAGATAAAAATTTGATTCAAATGCCCATCCCTAGTACCAAAGACCAAATTTTGTACATAATAATACATGTATAATATACATTATGAGAATATGAATTTATATGTAATTCAGGAACTTTAACTACTCCAAATAGAACTTGTTCTGGAACTGGAATCAAAAATCCTTTTAAATATTGAGAACTGGAACGTAACCAGAATAAAATTTAAATAATTTCAAATAACCAAACCCGTAACCTATATTTATAAATAAACATAAATTTGGTCATATAACGATTAATTTAAAGTCACCTCTACTCAATTTATTATTACTTTTTTTAGAGCTATAAAATCTGTAACCAGAACCCAATGATAAAAATAATTATGTAACAATGTATGATACCGTAAAAAACTTGAAGGTTCTAGTTCCTGACTTGTATACTGTATTAAAATCTTTATGTCCTCTCCCCAGCGTGAAATAAAATTTAATCTGATCTCAACAGTCATGGTTAAAATTAAGCTGCATGTCCTATTTTTACGTGGCTATACTTCTATTAGTGTCTTAGTGCTACTTAATACTAGAATAGGCCTTTAATTAAATTTACATGGTATCTTAATAGTAGTTTCTATAAAATTGTTAACAGTAAATTGGTATATGAAAATAAATTATATATTAGAACAGTACCAGTAATTTAATACAATTAACTTTTATTTTAAAAAAAATACATAATGATCAAATATCGTAACAACCCAAACTTATTGTATAGTTGATGTACAAAAAATGAATCACAGCTTTTACCCTAAAAATTGTTAAGTCTTTGATTTTGTTTTTTAGCTCTGTATGATACAAATCACCAGATCAATTAGGAAAACAACAATTTGATCATACTATTACTAAAAACATAAACATAAATCCCTTTCAAACCAATACAATAGTACAATATATGATGTACAATAGTTTAAAAACAATTTATAATCTTTTTTCTCCATTTACAATGCTGTCTCGTAACTCTTGTGTGAGTGGAACAAACTTCCTTCCTTCATTAAAGTATAAAGGATCCTCGGTAATTTTGGTAAGATCAAATCCATCATTTTGTACATCAATTTTTTTCATCTTGAACGTTCCTACAAATTAATAGAATAGTATAATAAAAATGACAAAATACATATTGAAAAACAAACTAACCAGTAAGCGACACAGGTGTCTTAACAATTCGTAAAAAGAGTGGCCGGGCGTAGGCTGGTAATGATTTATTGATTCCAGCAGACAATTTATCCAAATCTAAGTCACTAGTTTCATCTACAATAGCAACCATTCCAGCTTTTCCTTCAGTGTTTGGTACCTAGATATGTAAAGTAGATAAAATAGTAATTTAAATAAGGGTAGTTATTTTTTAATTTTGTAAATTACCTCTACTCCATACACTAAGCAGTCTTTTAATTTTACTATATTACTAATAGCAGCCTCCACTTCTGATGTAGAAACATTTTCACCTTTCCACCTATTAATTTAGTTTAATCAATTAACCAGCGCTTAAAATTTTAAACTGTTAAAAATTAAACATATGAATACGTATTGTTATTTATTTTTTATTAGGAACTGAAGACAACTCTCATAAACTTTAAAGACATTTTAGGATAATTTTGGGAAGTGTAAAATGCAAATTAATTTTTTTTTTCAGTGTTCCTACATTATAAAATCTATTATAGTTGTATGATACAAATATTATACAATTGATACAATAAATGCATTTTTTAATAAGTTCACAGGTTTATAAAACATTCAATTTCTCACCTATATTATGTAAGACTTAATTAGTTTGTGAGTAATAGTGGGTACCTATAATAAATACATTATATGTATTTAAAGGCTTATTTCAAATTTTAGTCATATATGAATGTCAATCAAATCTTGTATTTATATAAATAGCAAAAACCCATTTTTGATACAATTTGAGAACCAAGAGCTATTTTTTAAGATACCCACCTAAAGCTATTTATAGTTCGCTGTCTAAAATATATCTAAAAAGTTTGCTGTCTAGCTTTAAAATTAAAAAGACAGTATGAGAGATGCTAAAATTGTATTATTTATTATGCTTAAATTAAAATATTTCAATCATCAATTATTTTTTATTTTTTATGTTTAAGAGGATTTTTTTGTAAAATGTATTAAATAGTAATAATAATTTGAACTGGCTACTAAGAAATTTTTGTTTTTCATCATAAAAATATATTTTAAAAAATGTTTGATTAAATTTTAAATAGCTCTGATTTCGGACAATTTGATTTTTGATTTAGCATAGTTCTCAAGGCTAAATCGCCTTAATGACTAAAAAGTACCCAAACATAGCATCAAAAATAATTGTTGATTTTTTTTAAAAAAAAMCCCCCACAAAGGTTAAGAATGTAAAATACAAAAATGTCTTTCAGTACCTCCTAAAAATTGATAAAAATCTCAATTMAAACCAATGTTATGTAATCCAGATAAAAAGTTTGTGTTTTTTAAATTGGTTAACAAACAGTTAATATTTTATTTTTTAGTTATTAAGTGATTTCATTTTATGACACAACAAGCTAACAATTAAGTATGGTCTAATAATATGATAAAATACATAAATACCTATACAAATAATCATGACTTATTAATGTAAAAAACAAATACTATTCAATTTACCTGAAAGTATCTCCTGTACGGTCTTTAAAGTAATAAAAATTAAGTTCATCCCGAATGAGCACATCGCCTATAATATTAAATAAATGATTAAGTGTTTACCTATTTATATCATTAAAATGTTCATTTTTTTATTTTTTATTTAAAAAAAAAACATGTATTAAAAATTACCAGAGTTAAATACTTTGTCTCCTTTACGAAAAACATCTTTAATAATTTTTTTCTCAGAAGCTGATTTTTCTACATAACCACTGAAAGAATTTTCAGTTGTTTTTCTTATATTTCCAACCAATAATCCAGGTTCTCCTATACAAGTAAATTGTGTTTAAAGAATATGTTCTAATTGAATGCCAAATTTATTGTAAGAATTTTGGAAAAAATGTTTCTTATGAAATATAATTAAGTCAAACAAAAATCTTACCAACTTCACATTTAATACACAGATTATTTTTTCCTCGAATAGGTTCATTGGTGTATGGATCAACACGTATCAATGTGACAGGATAAAATGGTTCTCCGATGAATGGAATAAATCCCACAGCTCCAACTTTATTTGTTGTGTTCACTATAAAACAAACAACAAATTTACTAAATGATATATTAATATACTATGCAATATTTTAATGTTCAGAACATTTACAAATTGAGAAATGTCTCCAAAAATAATATAAATAAAATATTTTTAACAGGCTTCAAAATACTTTATTGGATTTGCATTGAAATCAAAAAAATAAAATAAGCTATTATGGGAGATGGAGGTGGAAGAGCTTCATAATTCATATAATATGTTAAACATTTGACAGTTGTATTATGATAATATATTTGAAAACTAAAATTATCAGATTTGAAAATCAATACCTAATGAATGTAATTATTTGTTTACAAAAAAATTTTAAGTTGAATTATTATTTTTTTGTAGTTTCTCCTCATACTTAGGGAAAATGTATGTGTTACTTTCTTAGTAGGTATTCATTAAAATGTTTACTTGGGTAGTAGTCAGTAGATAGAACTATGTATATGCAAATTTAGGAGTACTCCTAATGTCTATAGTATATAGCACTAAAATAATGTTAAAAAACAAAAAAAAGATTTAAAATACAAAAACCATTACCTATAAAAATCATCAATAAATTCATAACATTGCTCAGAATATAAAAATTGGAAAAGTGATAGGTAGGTATGATGTCATTATGTCAATTATTTAAAAAGTGTATAAACTATTCATCATCACAATAATGTTTGATGTAACACTTTTAGATTAGCTTTAAAAAAAAAAAAACTCAAAAGTAGATAGTGTAGTTATATAGGTACTATATTTTTTTTACTCATATTAGCATTCCCCTCAGTGGCTCCATAGAATTCTGCCACTTTCTTTATATTAAACCGTGTAATGAAGTCGGTCCATATTTGAGGTCGAAGACCATTTCCTAAAATCAATCTGACCTGATGAGTTTTGTCAGCATCAGATGGGGGTGACGCCAAACAATAACGACACATTTCACCAATATATTGTGCAACCTTTAAATTTTAATATAATATTGAATTAATAAATATATACCTGGTAATGACCAACGGTTGACTTGGGGGGGACGCAGGGGGACTGAGTACCTCAACTAATTTTTGGGATACACTAGCGTACCCCTACTTCTTTTTTAGTGGGGAACGCATGGGACTGATTGTAATGTAAACTTTTAACTTACCTATTAATTAAAATTGTATTTGAAAATGTGAATTGTAATTTTATTGTATAAATATTTAATATCTAATTCTAATATGAAGTAAACCTTAAGTTACACGGTTACATCTAATAAATTATGATTTATAATATGTTATGATTCATTGATACGTGTTTCTTAATAATTTGTTATGCTTCTTAAGCGACCATAAAGGATGGTGTGGGGCGACCCCCCACGGCCCCGCCACCATGGTTATGTAAGTTTTATTAAAATGCTAGAGACGCTACATTTTAAAAGTAGCTAGAGATCCTCTACTACTTTATTTCCAAGTCAACCACTGGTAATGACTAATAGTATTTATTGCTAAATATTAAAATTATAATAAATAATAAATATAAATAGGTGATTCAAAAGTAATAAATTTACATTCGTAAGTACACTCATTACTATGTTAAATCTTAAGTTTACATAATTAAAAACATTATTATTATTTATTTATTTTTTTAGCATAATTTGATATCATTCCAAAAAAAAGTTTTTTAATAATATAGTTTACTATACCTAGGTATTATTGTGCGGAAAGGGTGGGAAGTCAACTTTTTCAGTCGCCCATGACAGGTAACTATAAAGAATAATTTTATATTTTCGTTAAAACAATATATTATCAGTATAATGACATGAATAGTTTTGTATTTTGAACGTACATATAAGTTGATATCTGATTCGAAGACCAAAATTTGTATATGATTAGGGAGAAGGGGCATAGGACTGCTTAAGAGTTTTACGGACTGATTAAAATATAGGTAGGTGTGGGTCGTAGGTTCTAGCATGATTATTAAAACGACGCCTCAGGGTAATTGCCAAATACCTATACGCATCACGCATGATGACATGATGTTGTTATATGCAAATTATTGTGCATAATATTATGTTAATATAATAAATAAAATAATTTATTAAAAGTATTAATTGGTCGTTTCGAGTGTTTCGACCTAATACCAGTAATATCTATTCAATACAAAGTACCAAATAATGCATACATCTCCAGGGCTCTCGCATACTATAAATATGATATACCTATATAGGCTATATAATATTATAATTAAATGCATTAATTAATTACAACATGTGATATTACTAAATAATCAACTATTTTGTATTTAACTGATGAAAAGTTCCTCTTGAGTTAATTATAACACTTCTCTATCCAATAAATTATTATCTGAATCGACTGGATCATTACATTACAGAGCTGCACACATTAGGAGTGACAGACATAATATCTGACTCGTTTAACCATCATATTAATCTGATTTGAACAATAACTTTTGTAGCGTAGCCGCGTAGGTAGTGGGGAATTTCCCTTATCCGTCTGCTATAGTGCTACGCCGTCACTGCCGGAGTGCTAAATGGGAAATAGGTCATTTCCAACGCTTTAACCGTCATCAAACATTTAATTTTCGATGCAGGAGTGACAAAAAAATATTTACATTAATTTTTTTAGAAATCGCTATTTTTTTTTAGTGATATACATTCATTTCATATTCCGAAGCCGAATAACTTTGATTTTTGATACATAAAAATCAAATTTAGTAAGGTGAAGTCATGACAACTATTGGTGCCTTGTGGTGGTGCGTGGAGTGGACTAGGGTGGCCTTTATAATACACCATAAAATCTAAATTAATCTAGGCTACAAAGAATAATAAGCTCTGCTTATTGCTTTATTATAAAACTAATTATCTACTCGTACCTCGTACGAAATTCGATTTTTATAATTCGAAATACCTATACTATATATATATATATAAAAAAAATTCTGCTTTAAAATATGAAATTAAAAATGTATGTCGTTCTTAAAAAACGTAAAAAAACATAAAAGATTAAGATAAAAAATAAAAAATATTTTTTTTTTTTGCAATGACAACAAATTATGTAAAATGTAAAAATAATAATTTCAAAAAAATTCATTATTTTCAAAATAATGAGTGTATGTGAAATGGATGATTGGATCATGTATATTTATACTTACTGTACATTCATATTTAACACAATCAGTCCAATAGTTAGATGCTGAAAACTTGGACCTTATAACACACGTTGAACCTCCTAAAAGGACAGAGCTAACACCCAAGATACCACCAGCAGTATGATACAATGGTAACGGTGTATACACAACGTCATATTCAGTTATTCCAGCTATGTATTTAACTCCCATCGCCATATAAATAGCTCTAATAAAGTTTGGTAAAAATTTGATAATTGTATAGGTTATAATGAATAATTGTAATAATATCATACAAATATTTAACTAGTTATAGGTACATATTTAGACCCAATGTCATCCAGTCCTTTATAACTTTTAACTACCAATAATTTGTTTTGGCTGTTTTGGGTACCTACCTTGATTGGGTCATAATAGCAGCCTTTGGCATACCCGTAGTTCCTGATGTATAAATATATAACATTTGATCTTTTGAACTACCTTCGGAAATATCTTTTACGGGAGCACTTTTTGATATTTCTTTTAGTTCATAATCAAGATTAATAGCTTTACTTATTGACGTATTAATTAATGAAGTAGTGTCATCACTGTAATTTTTTATGTATACATTCGATTTTGTAAACAGATCAATCAATTTATCATCAGTAGTTATGTTCATAATTTCCGCCAATGCTGTAAACATAATAACAATTAATTAGAAATATATTTATTTCAACGTAGGTATTCAAATGAAAACTAACTTTTAACTGTAAATATTAAGCTGATTTTGAACTTAAAAATCTAAACAATTAAAAATATGGCCTTGTATTAAATCTAAAAATTCTGAATTTGTATAAATACATTACTAAAGGACAAATGGTTTTATATGCTTGATGAATCATACCGAATAAATAAAGTTATGTAGATAATATATTAAAGGTATAGTAGGTACATAAATATCGATGTAATCTTATATTTGTTGCAATCCATTTGCGATTACAAATATAGGTACTAACTTTGTAAAAGGGCTTATGCCTTATGGGGAATGTTTACACAGAATAATAATTAATAATAAGAAAATACGAAGAATACAAACCTGCCCTGCACCCGAAAAAAAATGTGGTCCTAGTTGTGCCTAAACCTAATATAAATATTATAATATCACTACCTATATATTAAGTACATTATATTTTTTTTATCTCAAGTTGATATCTATATTTATTACTATGGAATAAATAATAATAAATAATAACATATAACCTGTGTGTTAATAATTATATATATACGAATACAATATGACCAATAATGTGTAAAATGTTTTAAATAATACCTAATTTAATACTTTAATTTTAATTATATATTTAATTATTGTAATTTAAAATTTTTTACCGTGGCTTATTTTTCCCATGGCTTTTTTTCCTGTGGATTATTTTTGCCGTGGCTTTTTTTTCCTACATCAAACTAATAGACGCGCCTTATCATATACTTGTACAGGAACAATTTTGTAGCCCACATGTTTAGTGATATTTATTATTATAATATTTATTTCATGTTTGGGAAAAATAACGCATTATTTTAATATGATTTTATTATAAATTATAAGTAATATGTATTAAATAACACTACTAATAACCCGAATATTCGATTTGTCGTGGTAAATATACTAATATTGAATTTTGTTAATTATACGTAATACTTAACTAATACGTTATAACACTATTTTATTTGGTAATAAAAATAATTTAAAATTGGTTCATTGGTAATAAATAATAATATATATAAGTAGATAGTAGATATAGTTAAGTATTATATTATTATTAAAAAAAAATGGTCATATCTTGTTCTGCATATAATTGTACTCAAAGGTATACAAAAAGAGTTTCTTTTAATGGGTAAGTCCAAAAAAATTATCAACTATTCTGAATTTAATTTAATATAAACTACCTGACTACTATTTATTTAAAGTTTTCCAAAAGATGATGAATTTAAAAAAATATGGATCCAAGTTATGCGAAGGAATAATTTTACACACAATCTAAACTTTGTACTAAGCATTTTACTAATGATTGCTATGATATTAGTCCTTGGAATTCTCTGAAAAAATTGAAAAACCAGTGACCAGTGATCGTATATGACATAATATAGCGAGTGCTAAACTGCTAAGTACCAAATGTTTCATAGAGGTTTGATTAAAAATCCAAATTTATTTAAAGGTAGGTATTTTAGAGCTTATTTGTACATATTTCAAAAATGTATAGTTTTTAAGAATAAGATCATATTTATAGTCTTTTATTGGTATAATATATATTTGTACTATTTCGTGATTTTTATTGAATGTGAGACCTAGAAATGATATTAACTATTATAAATATATTATATTCATATGTATATAGAGATTAGAGTTGAATAATTATATTTTAAGTAATAATTAAATATTAAACAATCTATTATACCTATAAGAGAAGTGCAACCGACAATTGTACCAAAGCCAGTTCATTTAAGTATTATTTTTTTATCGGGATAACGGGATAGCCACTGCCATATTATACAATATTACTATTCATAAAAGACATTACGTCAATAATATTGAAATTGTAAAAATATTATATCATTAAAATAATGAGCGTCAAAAGATTGCAATAGCGTTGGCCATATTCTATATGACGAATATTATACGAATACGACGGTATTGCCCAAACGTGACGTCACACAGTAACAGATGTTGACGTCAATATATAAATATTTACTGCACGCCGCGCGCCACGTCTAGTTTATAATATTATTATTGAAGAATATAATTTTTTGTTATCAAAAAATAAATATAAATGATAAGGAATTGCCGCCATTATTATATTCTGATATCACGTATTCACAAATTAACGTGTGTGGTTTGATAGTAAAATATAGTGATGAATAATGATTATTGATTCTTATTTCTTAATAATTAATAGTTAATACTTATTACTTAGATGAGTATTGAGTAGACTGAGTAGTGCAAACTGCAAGTGCGATAAGTAGTGAATACCGAGTACTACTTATAACGTTGGTCTAAATAATGAACTCCAAGTTTGAGTAGTAAGTACCTAGTGATTTGTTAATGTGTTGTGCATGTTATTTTATTCTATGCTAATTATTATATTCAGTATCCAAAAAAAATAATAGTATTAGAAATATCCACTATAAAGAACATAAACGGTTAAATTGCAAGTAAGAAGTTTCATTGTATACCAGACTTAAAATGTAATTTATAATTTACATTAATAACCTCGATAAATTAACAGATTAGTTTTAGTGTTTCCAATGTCTTATTCTCATGTTTTTATTGTTAAAATATTATATAGTAAATAGTGAAAACATCTCCTTACCATTGATTTGTTCTTTGCCGATTATGACTGCTGAACAATTTGATACTTTTATAGAATGTGCCAATGTATCAGCACGTAAATTATTATTAATTAAAGCTACTATAACTCCAATTTTAGACAAACCAAGCCAGATACATACGTATTCTGGACAACTTTCCATGTACAAAGCAACAACATCGCCTCGTTTAAATCCTTGCTCTTTGAAATAATTGGCAATTTGGTTGCTGAGCTCTTCAACCTAAAAGCAATTGTAAGTATTTATACTATGATTAATTATTTATCATTTTTATATGATAGTTCTATTAAGTATATTTTATATATTACTATTTTATAATTTTTATCAACCATAAGTTGTAAGGATATAATAAATATTTTACACTTTTTGATCTATCATCAAAAATAATAAATTTTAAGCTAAATTGTCATATTTTTTATTGGTGGCTATTGGCAAAATTGCATAATTCATTTTTATGTTAAAAAGTTTTGTACTAACCATACCAGTAATTTTCTTATTTATTAACCTATGTGAGATTGATTTAATAACTATTGTTCTATCTAATAGTAATACAAATTTAAACCTAAAATTTTTTATTTTATGTTAAAATAGGTATTTAGTGATTTTTATAAATACATCTGTAAATACTCATGTCATAAACATCACTGAAAATAATTTTAGTATTTTAAGAAGTGTTTATCAATTGTTATAGTAAAAATTTATTTATATAATTTGAAATGTAAAATACATAAATATCATGGTTCATTAATCTATTAGGTAGTTGATGGTATCAAAGATATTTTCTGGGATATATAAAATCAAGTTATTATTAGAAAAATCTTATTTAAAATTGTTTTATAAATATGGCATAATATGGCATAAATTGTGCATTAAATTTAGAGCCAATTAAGGTCATTAAAATAATAACAATGTGTTGTGTGTATAAGTAATATTTAACAGGGATATTTTCAAATGTATTAAAACTAAAGAGGATGTTAATTATATTTACAGTTAATAAACTCAGACAAATATTAAAAATTAAAGCTTAATAAAGTTTATCATGATATTTGTTTTAATGATTTTTTTTTTAATACACCGGATTTGGTATGTAATTACTTTAAATATTAGTCTAAATCATATTGTTGAGCTAATGAATTTCTAATACAACCAACGAGTTTTAATGGATTTAATATTTAACCCCATCACATATATTATTAGAAGTAAGTACACATTTTATGTATTGATAGATAGATATTGTTATTAATTTTGATTTATAAACTTCCATTTTTGCATTTATAAGAATATTTACTTCTATATATCTCCAAGTAGAACCTTCATGCTTGAATGCTATTTTATTTGGATGTTTTTCAACATTTCTTTTAAAAATTTTAGCATATGTGTCACATCCCAATAATTTCCATATCCTTATTTTTATAAAATATGTTGAATAGTCTTTGATTAATCTGAAAAAATAATAAAACATAATACTTGTATATATTATTTCCGTTATAGGTATATACTATATAATACTGTTTCATTTATTACAAACTAAAATTGAAAACTTGAATTATATCTCGCTCATGTTTAGTTTTATTTTGTCACTTAATAAGATTTAATTAAATTTCTTGGTAAGTACTAAGTAGTAAGCTACTTATATTAATAAACACTATTTACAACTATAGGCACTAATTTATAGTAATAACCTCATAACTAATTAAACATAATTTTTCAATTAGATTTCACATAGGAATTTTGATGTTTAAATTTAAAAGTACTGATTTATTTAAAGTTAAATAATCATAAAATAATTATAAAAATAGATTGCAATAGTTGAAATAGAGTAAATAAATCTTTTGGTTTTATATTGACATGTTTATTTTTATAATTATTTTTCTATTTTTTAGTTATTCTATTACCTATCTATATGTAGTATTATATTTAATTAAATAAAAAATGTTTTATAATTATTTTTCTATTTTTTAGTTATTCTATTACCTATCTATATGTAGTATTATATTTAATTAAATAAAAAATGTTTTATAATTATTTTTCTATTTTTTAGTTATTCTATTACCTATCTATATGTAGTATATGCCTATCGAGCTTGCAATTTATTCAGTTGATATTTTGAAAAAATCTCAAGCCATTACCGATTTTTTTCTTATTAGTTTCCTATTTCCAAAGAAGAAAAACAAATTAACGTTTAATTCTAAAACATTTTTTATTTAATTAAATATATAGGTACATATATGCAGTGGCGTGCAGAACATTTTTCAGACCAGAGGCAAACTATACAATTTGACACTTTGACACCCACCCTATACAACCATCAGGTTTTTCACTTAATAAAAAATTGTATATATTTATATGATATTTAAAATGTATGATCAAAC